CTGTGAATTTCTACAGTGGCATAATGCTACCTACTTTGTTCTCTATTCCTTTCCTAAGAATTCATAATGTTTTACTTGCTTTCTTGACTGCTGTCAAGTGCTGTGATTCTTTATTAGCCAGTCCGTGAAGACTTTCCAGGATGTTACTTAGCTTAGCATGGCACTCTTCTCAGTGTTTACAGCAATGTGGCATCAACCTGCTTTGGTATTATAAAATGCCAGGTAAATAACAGTCACATTCTCAGTCCTCCTAAAATCTACTCCGCACCTTCTGTTTTATCCCTGAGTTACTGAAATATGTATAGTATCTACCAAAAGAACATCAGTATTTTCTCATGGTGGGAAAAGTCCTTTGTTGAGTTGTTTTTTTCGAAGTGTTAAAAAATGAGAGTGTTCATAGTCCTCTGTATAGAGAATTATATAGATACAATGCATGTATCTATATAGATAAAGAAAAGAAATATAGATAAAGAAAAATCTACTTTTTGGCTTCCTTTTCCAAACTTTCTGGGGCCTTTGATAAATTGATGATGCTGTTGGCAAAGGGAAGATATTATGAATCATGTTCTGAGGACAGTCTAACATGAGATTCAGTAAGAGCTAAATCACTTGTCATATCAAATCTTTGTCCAAAGTTTTGGGATCTACCATTTCATAGCATGACAGAATCAGAATCCTGTCCTAGTGTGACCTCTGAGATGATCCAGTTTGCATCCATTCCTGAAAGAAGACATTGTTAGAGAGTCATGTATTTTCAGAGGCTGTCTCCTCCACAGTGAAAGGATGTTACCTGGCTTCCTTCCCCAGCCCTCTTTGAATCAGATCATGTAAAAGTGTAGCACAGAAGTAGCATCTGTCTCCATATTATCTCAGCAGTCAGACCTTTACAATCTGCTCATTCTCCTCCACGGCATCCAAACTTTTCCTGGTGCCAAGTTACCTAGCAGTATTTGTCCTTAGAAAGGATTAAATCCTGTGGAAAAGCTAACAACTGGAAATGGGGATCTTCAACAGGTAGACCATCTCCCATGAATTGAAAATCATTTGAATACTGATAGCTAGGAAATAAGTGTTTAAGGACAAATACCTTTAGATGACAGCTACACCTACAGCCTAATGAAATTTGCAAAGATTTGTAAAATTCAGGTCAAACATGCTTGAAGGAATCACGGCTTTCAGCAGTGTTGGGCCCAACAGTGTTTTCTCATCTCTCAATAATAAAAATTTTACAAGGATTCCCAATAATTATTTGTCACTTCTTTTTCAAGAATTACAAGCCAAACTGCTTCCTCTTCTACCTCAGTCTTTTTTCCCCCCAGGACTGTAAAGATGTAGGGGTATGCCAAAACCTGTGCTCCTTTACAGAACAGTCTACAACAGTATCCTTGGGCAAGAACCCTAAAAACATGTTTTCCTTTGTAGTACAACAGCTGTCTGCCAATAGTCCTGGATCTCATTGATGAGAGAGCAGAATCAATTGTAAAGAGCAACTTAGTCATAAAATAATTCCTCTTCATTTTCACTCTTAATACTTACTTATATGTTCCAGCATCATATGATTAGAATTTCTTGGCAGATCTTCTATATTCATCCTCTTTTACTAGACAGGCTATCATAAAGATATTCAGCTGTTTAAGACAGTTGTAAATTTCTGAAAGGTAACTCACAAATGCAGCTTCCATGTACAAGACAAATGTCAGTGATTTCTTGAAAATAAGTCAGGAGAGGTCATTGTTAGAAGTATTTCTGTAAGATTCTCTAGCAGGTGATGAAATATTATTAGTCCCCAGTAGCTCCATCACTTGTGCTTTGTGCAAACTCTGAAGTTAAATGTTATGAGTGCTATGGTACTGTACAGGTGCACCATGAATAGTCTTTCACTCAGAATGATTCTCATTTGTTAAATTTGGAAATGTACTTTGTTCTGGCCTTAATTTTCATGTAGTTCTTCGTATTCTAAATGGCAGCTGAAGGCAAGCAGAAATAGTGAGTAATTGATTTAACAACGTAAGACAAGTACAGGGAAGTAGAAAAGTTTGTCTTAGTGTTTGATGTGACCTGAGAGAGCTTCTTTAGACTTTTTTTCTAAACAGTACCTCAGCACCTTGGGCCAGCAAAGTGGCCTTTAAGCCTGAATGAGCATGACTTTTTTTTTCCTCAGTGCAAAGCTCTAGTATTTCATCTTTTCAAACTGTTTTACAGCACTCAGAGCAGAATTATATTGACAAGGTTAGAATTCATCTCCTAAAGGAGAATACTGTGCTCCTCCTGTTAAGTGCTAATATAACATTTATGTGTTGGTACCTTAATAACAGCCCCAGCTAGCCTAATGAAAGTACTGAAAGCAAACAGTACTCGGTGAGATTTTATTATGACTGAAGTGACTGCAATTTCAGACAAATTATCCCTATTTTTGTTCACATATCAAAAACAGAAATGCTAAAGCAATTGCTACATGTTAGGTATAGAATTAGACACCACTATCGTTAATACAGAGGTAAGTGCATTTTTCATGTAAACAGCTCACGAGGGTCAAGCATCAAGGATATTCTGTGCAAAATGCTTGTCAATAACTCTGTGAGTGAATTTTGAAATAAAGTGCCTTCATTATTTCTTCCTCTCAAAGTTGAGAGCGAGTGGATGAAAATTGAGCTTCTGAATTGAAGGTACTGCGAGTTATATGGCCTTATCGACTTCAGGCAAAATGACAGGTTTGCCTTGTTATTATTTTTCCTTTCAGAGGTCAGGCAATGGACAATATTACCAGTATATACTGCAGTATAAGCAAATTGGTATATAAAAAAAGTTATCACCTGTGTACACAAAGAAGAATGTGTAAGTCACTAAAAATAAAAATGCTTAATATATTGTCTTTCCATAAAAATGGAGGGAAAAGTAAGAAAAAAAAATAACCTGCTGGCCAGAATAAGTATTTCAGCTGTTCAAGTTTGAACAGTTGTTTAAAAAAAAAAAAAAAGAGCTGATAAGTTGATGTAAATTCATACTTTTTGAGTGTATGTATATCATAAAATGGGTTGGTTTCCATAAATAGTCCTTGTCATATACATAATAGGAGTATGAGATATATAAGGTAATATAAGGTAACAGCAGACCTAAATGTGTGTACTGGTTTTGGCTGTGATGGAGTGAACTTTCTTCATAGCAAACTGTACAGTGCTGTGGTTTGCATTTGTGACCAAAACAGCGTGGATAATACACCAGGGTTTTTAGCTATTGCTGAGCAGTGCTTACACAGTGTCAAGGCCTTCTCTGTTTGTCACACTCCCCTGCCAGTGAGGAGGCTGGGGGTGCACAAGAAGCTGGGAGGGGACACAGCTGGGACAGCTGACCTCAACTGACCAAAGGGATATTTCATTCCATATAGAACATCATCTTCAGCCATAAAAACTAGGGTGAGTGGTCTTTGGGAGGATAGCCATTGCATACCCAGTCTAGCTGGGTATCAGTCTGCTGGTGGGAGGTGTTCAGTAATAGCCTTTGCATCGCTTGTTTCGGTTTTCTCCTTTCTTCTTCCTTTTTTTCTTCACTTATTAAATCATATCTTGATCCATGAGTTTTCTCACCTGTGTTGTTGGGGAGGGAAAGACGTGGATAATACACCAGGGTTTTTAGCTATTGCTGAGCAGTGCTTACACAGTGTCAAGGCCTTCTCTGTTTGTCACACTCCCCTGCCAGTGAGGAGGCTGGGGGTGCACAAGAAGCTGGGAGGGGACACAGCTGGGACAGCTGACCTCAACTGACCAAAGGGATATTTCATTCCATATAGAACATCATCTTCAGCCATAAAAACTAGGGTGAGTGGTCTTTGGGAGGATAGCCATTGCATACCCAGTCTAGCTGGGTATCAGTCTGCTGGTGGGAGGTGTTCAGTAATAGCCTTTGCATCGCTTGTTTCGGTTTTCTCCTTTCTTCTTCCTTTTTTTCTTCACTTATTAAATCATATCTTGATCCATGAGTTTTCTCACCTGTGTTGTTGGGGAGGGAAAAGCAAACAGCTCTGTGGAGCTTAGCTGCTGGATGGAGTCAACCCCACTGCAATGTATTGTTCCTAGTTTAAAGCTCTAAGGTTGGTTTTGTTTGTATTCATATGAAGAACAATTGAATACATAGCAACAATACAGGGACAAGATAATTCTTTCATGAACTCATCTTAGGTTTGTTAAGATTCAAAGGTAATGCTATTTAATGCACATAGGTACGATTAATTTGGGTTGGAATGGATACAAATTCACAATTTATTCCTCTGTCTCATGGAAGAGTGTTTCAGTGTTTTGAAACATTATGTTCACTTCACATACCTCTTAATATGCTACAGTAAAATTTATACTAAATTTTTTTCAAAGTAAGCAGAAAGCTTGTCCCACCTTCTTTAATACCGTCAGAAGAAAAGGAACTCAGTTACTCAGAGTTAGCTTACCAAGTTAGCTAATTAGATGTGTTGGCTGATGTGAAAACAATTTAAATATACTTTCTAAATGAGCTCTGCTATTAAGAAAACAAGTTTTATCTTCTAAGGGGTTTGTTCAAGATCATTATCCTGTTCAGAACTTCCAGAACTGTATCTGAACTGTATCTTTAGTACTCCAACTTTTAAAATAAATCTTATGTGCTTTACTAACTCATTTCTGTGGTTTTGGTAGTTCCTACCATTTCTATTCTTCAAGTAGCATTGGTACAGATAAAAGTCACTGTATGCAAAAAGACTTTTTTTTGATTGCAAAATGAGTGCAAAATACATTATAATCAGCATTTTTTTAAAACGATACAGGCATAGTAGTAGTTTGAGATTACAAAAATTAGCAGATATTAACTGTCAAACAGATTTGGAATTGCTCAGGATGACGTTTCATGCTCAGGAATGTTTAGGAGAAAAACAGTCTCCATGAAATAACTGTACTGTACATTCAGCTCAACTGAATATGAGCAACATTAATTTCTACCAGCTCTGTAATATGCACAATGTTTTGTTTATCTTTTAGGTTGAAGATTCAGAGGTGTATCATGATGTAACTGCAGTGTGTGGGTTGCTTGCTGTGGTTGTAATATCTCACCTACCCAGAGATGCTGCCATTGAATGGCATGTTGTTGCAGTAGTTGACGATCCACTCCAAAGAAGACATTTTGCAATGAAGATGTTGTCAGAAGGCTTCCAAATTGAGTGTGAATCTGTGGAGTCTAGTTCTGCATCTTGTGCATCGATCTCTGTACGTCTCAGCTTGATTTCACCATCCACTTCTCAGCTTGATTTAGATGGACCTCTTCATGACTTAGTTGCTATGTTTAGACAAGCTGTTGAGAAACTTTCAGAAAACTGCAGTGAAAGTCCTTTGTCTTTTAGAGCTTTCTTCAAGGAGAGTGTCTTTGATGCTGAAACACTACAAACAGGTAAGACTTATGACAGAAACTGGGTGTTAATACTAAGCGTAAGGTAATTTTTGTTTACTTCTACATAAGGTTTAATTGGCCACCAGGACTAGGGAAGTGATTGTCTCCCAGTACTGGCACTGGTGAGGCTGCACCTTAAATACTGTGTTCAGCTGTAGAATCATAGAATCTTTGGATTGGAAGGGACCTTTAAAGGTCATCCAGTCCAACCCCCTGGTGTGGGCAGAGACATCCTTCACCAGGTCAGGTTGCTCAGAGCCCTGTCCAACCTGACCTGGAATGTTTCCAGGGATGGGCATCTACCACCTCTCTGGGAAACCTCTGCCAGTGTTTCACCACCCTCACTGTGAAAAATTTCTTCCTTCTATCTAGTCTAAATCTACCCTCTTTTAGTTTAAAACCATTCCCCCTTGTCCTTTCTCAACAGGCCCTGCTAAAAAGTCTGTCCCCATCTTTCTTACAGGCCCCCTTTAAGTACTGGAAGGCCGCAATCAGGTCTCCCTGGAGCCTGATTCTTTCCTCCAGGCTGAACAACCAGCCCTCTGATCATTTTTGCGGCCCTCCTCTGCACCTGCTCCAACAGGTCCATGTGTTTCCTGTGCTGAGGGCTCCAGAGCTGGACATAGTACTGCCAGTGAGGTCTCACCAGAGCAGAGTAGAGGGGCAGAATCACCTGCCTCGACCTCCTGGCCACGCTTCTTTTGATGCAGCCCAGGATACGGTTGGCCTTCTGGGCTATGAGTGCACATTGCTGGCTCATGTCCAGCTTTTCTGGTACACCAGTACCCCCAAGTGCTTCTTGGCAGGGCTCCAGAGCTGGACATAGTACTGCCAGTGAGGTCTCACCAGAGCAGAGTAGAGGGGCAGAATCACCTGCCTCGACCTCCTGGCCACGCTTCTTTTGATGCAGCCCAGGATACGGTTGGCCTTCTGGGCTATGAGTGCACATTGCTGGCTCATGTCCAGCTTTTCTGGTACACCAGTACCCCCAAGTGCTTCTTGGCAGGGCTGTTCTCAAGCCCTTCTTCCCCCAGCCTGTATTGATACTGGGGGTTGCCTTGACCCAAGTGCAGGACCCTGCATTTGGCCTTGTTGAACCTCATGAGGTTCACACAGGCCCGTTCCTCGACCTTGTCCAGGTCCCTCTGGATGTCATCTTATCCCTCAGGAGTGATAACTGCACCACTTAGCTTTGTGTCATCCCCAAACTTGCTGAGGGTGCACTCGATCCCACTGTCTATGTCATTGATGAAGATATTAAAAAGTACTGGTCCCAATATGGACCCCTGAGGGACAGCCACTCGTCACTGATCTCCATTTGGACATTGAGCCATTGACCGCTACCCTCTGGGTGCGATCATCCAACCAATTCCTCATCCACCCAAAAGCCCACCCATCAAATCCATATCTCTCCAATTTAGAGAGCAGGATGTTGTGGGGGACCATGTCAAAGGCCTTATAGAAGTCCAGACAGATGACATCGGCAGCTCTTCCCTTGTTCACTGATGTGGTCCCTCCATCATAGAAGGACACTAAGTTGGTCAGACAGGACTTGCCCTTGATGAAGGCATGCTGGCTGTTTGGAATCACCTCCCTGTCCTCCACGTGCCTTAGCATAGCTTCTAGGAGGGTCTGTTCCAGGATCTGCCCAGGCACAGAGGTGAGGCTGTCAGGTCAGTAGTTCCCAGGGTCCTCCTTGCTACCCTTTTTTTAAAATAGGTGCAATGTTTCCCTTTTTCCAGTCTCCAGGGACTTCACCTGACTGGCATGACTTTTTGGGCCTCTTACTACAAGAAAGACATTGAGGTGCTGGAGCGTGTCCAGTGAAGAGCAATGAAGTTGCTTAAGTGTGTAGAGCACAAGTCTTACAAGGAGCAGCTGAGGGAACTGGGGTTGTTTAGTCTGGAGAAAAGGAGGCTGAGGGGAGGCCTTATCGCTCTGCAACTACATGAAAGGAGGTTGTAGCGAGGTGTGTGTCAGTCTCTTTTCCTAATAGGACAAGAAGAAATGGCCTCAAGTTGTGCCAGGGGATGTTTAGATTTGATATAAGGAAAAATTTCTTCACTGAAAGGGTTGTCAAGCACTGGAACAGGCTGCCCAGGGAAATGGTTGAGTCCCCACCCCTGGAGGTACTTAAGAGACGTGCAGACGTGGCGCTTAGGGACATGGTTTACTGATGGGCTTGGCAGTGCTAGGTTTATGGTTGGACTCGATGATCTTAAAGGTTTTTCCCAATTTAAATTATTCTATGATTCTATGATTAAGATATGTTTGTTCTTTTTCTGGTTACCAGGCATGCATATAGAAAGGCTCTGTTCTTGGACATTTTGAAATCCAAACAGGATAAAGCCCTGGATTACTTGTTCTGATCTCACAGCTAACCTGACTTTCAGAAGGAGGTTGGATTAGGTGATCTCACTCCAGTCTGAGTTATTCAGTGATTCCATGAAAGAGAAGTTGCTCAGAAATCCAGCCACCTCAGGTTCAAACATAGGGAGAATGAATCTTTTGCATAAAAGTCTTTGAACAGTTGTCTGTTTGGTAGACTGTTTTTGTCATGATCTAGAACTATGTTCAAGTAACCCAGTTCTGTGTGCTACCAGGCACTCTGTTGAGAATAAATAATGAAATAATAATGTTTTAAAATAAGGAAACGGTGTTGTTTCCTCTAGATTAGAGGGTGTCCAGTTTTGAACATGGGCTAGTTTCTAACCAACTTATTTATCAATTATGCAAGAGCACAAAAGCTTATTTTATCTGTCAAGCCTACAAAACTGGTAAACCATACATGTATTGAAATCAGTAAGAGCTTTGTTATGAATTTGAGAGGGAACAAAATCAGATCCTTAGTCTATTTTTATCTCAAGCATGCATGCACTTTAAAAATCCTTGCAGACCACAACTGATCCATATTAATTAGCTGACATAAATGTTAGCCCTCAAATATTCTACTGTCCTATTTTTTTTTCTTAACCTGCAGCAGTTTTTGAAGAAAATTCAACTTGACATTGTTTAATAGATTTAAAGTACAGGAATTGAAAGCTATAAAAATGTGGCATAGAATAAGCATATTTAATCCAGGAAGCAAGGAATGAACATATAGTCTGACAGAATGTTGTTGTTTTTACTACATCTTGTTGAGGAGCTAAAAGGAAACCTGAAAAAACATGTTCCTGGCATGGGATTAACATTACTGTTTTGCCTGCTCTCTTTCTGATATTCCTCAGGCTGTAGAATAATTACTTGCAAATAAATTTAATTTCCTTTATTAAATATATTGCTCAATATAATGTATACATTGTGTGCATAAAAATTTGCTTCAGTTCCATTCACGTTATACTACTAATGGCACAGATATAGAAAGATTTGTTGTGATTGTCATATACTCTTTCTGGTTGCGTTCAGATCTCTGCACTGTCATGATTCCTGTCACTATAGCAATTTTTCATTATCCCCACTGGTAAGAAATACGTTCTTGCAAATTTGTAGAATATATAGAATACATTAAATTTACAAGTAGCACTAATTAATTGATGAAGAATTTTAAAATAACTTTTTTCTACGTAAGAATAATTTCCAGAAAGTTCATGTAATGGCAAGAAGAAATATGCTATATATTTGAAAATAATTTCTCAAATTAAAATTGTTGCTGAAATGTGTCTTACTGATAGTTTCAATTGGACATAAGACTATTATATATTTACAGTTTCTGGTTCAAAATCAGAAGACTAATTTTTAATATATTTTTAAGACAGAGACATATTTAAGTGTTCTGCTAGTATGTGTCTTGAAAGGCGTTTAGTCTCCAGTGAGGCCTCCTCAGCTTTCCAAAGGATACCGCATATTACTGAACTATGCCCTTGACTGTCTTTGTACTATTATTATAATCATACTTCCATAATTTAAAATGTACTCACACTTATACATTAACTCTCAGTTAAAAAAAACACTGTAGTAGGTCTCCAAGATGTTCCCATTCATTTCAGTATCCCCTAGACAGTGTCCATAAGCAAGATGACACAGTCTATGTTTTAGCTTCTCGATTGTTAGTGGCAGTCTTCAGTTGTGTGTGTTCTTTAGTGCACTTCACAGATGTAATATACCACAACTAATATCAGGTCTTTCTTTTGAATCCCATGATTTTTTAGCCTGCCTATAACACCAGCCCAAGGTGTTAGAGATTGTTAAGTTCTGATGACCACAGCTTCTTCCAGTTTTCCTCTTGAGCCTTAAGGTGGTCCTCATGTTTCATCTACAACAGCCTATTAACTTCTTGGCCTTCTTCCTGAATCTGGATTCGGGACCAAGGGAGAAAAAAAGGCATGTTTTACATTACCCAGAAGTTTAATTTGTTACCTGAATAGAATTCAAAACATACATATAATATATATTTAGGCAAATTCAAATAAGCTTGTTCTGCTTATAGAATGCATGAATCTGAATGTGGCGAGTCACAAGAGGGAACAGTACTGCTTCCAAAATGGGACTGGTTTGTGTCTTGTCAGCTATGAGCATGGCCAAAACTTGCTTATACCTGTCTCTGTCGACTTGCCCTAAGATATTTTGAGTATTTGGATGTCTCTGTGGTGATTTCTACTACCTTCAAAGGTTACTTTCTGTTGCAGAGTATGTCTAGGTGGGTATAAGAATTTATTAATGCTTCTGATCAGATAGCTGGTAAAACTCTCTTTTCAAACACAGAACAGCATTTTACTAGGACACAGGATAAAGCAGAAATGTACTGATGTGGTCACTCCATCGTAGAAGGACACTAAGTTGGTCAGACAGGACTTGCCTTGAAAATCTGCAGGCCCAATACACAGACTTTTAAAAAATACTGTTTCCTTAATGTGGCTGCCAGAACACAAATGATATCGAGAGCGCAGTTTTTCAGTTGCCATTTATTAATTCAGCTCAGGTAGTGCTGGTTGCTAACCATCTGTGTGATGATCCGTTAGTGACATGTTTGATCTCCGTCATGTGTTAAACATTGTTAATCC